TGACACCGTAACCTATAAAAATTTCAGCGTACACCATGTGAAAACATAAAGCAAGTATGTGCTTGCTGTTCTTCTTTCAGAAATGAAATCATGGATTCTGATAGCATCAGCTTTGTGTGTGCCCTTCCTCCTGCGCTGCCATGTTTATTTTGGTTCAACAGTGAGTTTGGCAACTCTTGCTTTTTTACGGCTGCTTGTCCCGCATTAAACCCAGAGGTGTGAAGTACATATACTTTGTTACTGTACTTAAGTACACTTTTTAGGCATCTATATCTACTCCATTACTTATTTTTCTTCCTACTTCTGATTTCTACTCATTACATTTTCACAAAATATCTGTACTTTCTATTCCTTACATTTTTAAAACAAACGTTACTCATTACTCTTGGCTTCGGTTTAATGTTTATAAATATTTATTTCCCATCATGTGCTCCATCCAATGCAGATCATTGGCGCCATCCACATCTAGTGAAAACTAGTGTAATTAGATGAGTCATATAATGCAAACACTCATTGATTAGCTATTGTTCAACTTTATGCTGATGCCAAAGGAAATCATCAGAAGCAAACAGGTGTTCTTTAAACTGCAAATGCCATTTGTCTATGCCATGCTACAATATCGGAAAAAGATTTTGAAATGTCTGAAAGGTCAGACAGAGGTGAGAGCGTATCAGGAGATGGAGACCAACAAGACCTCCCTCATCCTTGGCCGTATCTCAAAGAATTTTTTGAAATAGTCGAAAAATTGAGCTTTCAGTTCATATAGTGCCATCTGGCTGTTTTTTTTTTTTTTTTTTTTTTTTAAGGTTACTTTATACTTTTATACTTTAAGACGTTTTTGGAGCACATACTTTTCAACTTGAGTACAGAGGTCAAGTTGATACTTCAATTTTAGCCAGAGTGTTTTTAAAATGCAGTATCTATACTTCTACTTACTTAACAAATGTGTACTTTTGACACCACTGGTTAAACCATAGCATCAAACAGTTGAAGTGGGAGTCAGAAGAGTTGGATTTGCATTTGTTTGTAAAAACATTAAAACTGAGATTTCAGCTTTAAGTCAAGATTAATAATGGAAACAGCAAACAGTTCACCTAGTGATTCAGAGTTTTACTTTGTATTTTCCCCTAATCTGTTGTGTTTTACTTTGCAACCATGTCTCTCTTCCTGTCTAACCTTTGATTTTGCCATCAAAATGCTCCATATGCAGACACAGCTGTGTATACATTGCAAGTGATCTACCAGGTACTGTTCACTTCAACCAGACATGATTGTTACAGCTTTATAGATTTTTCTGTTTGGATCAGCATAGAGTTTATCCGATACAACTTTTTTTTCATTTCTGATAGGATACAGATATAACAGTTTTGCATATTGACCGCTACCAATATTGATCCTGATACTATATCAGAATAAATAGCCCTTAAACTTATTAATAAATTTGTAGCATAAAATGTTAGAAAAGGCTTGATGAAGTGATATGTGATCAAACAGAGAACAATAGTCGACAGTAAAGGGTATGATAAAAACGGACCCAGGGGTTACAAACTTTAAACATAAATGGAGTTTTTCTATACTATGTTTATATTGGAGATTTTAGATGCAGGCTGATATGCTGCTAGAGGGCTACACAGTGGTACAGTGGGTAGCACTGCTGCCTTGCAGCAAGAAGGTTTGGGGTTTGATTCCCGGCCTGAGGTCTTTCTGCATGTTGCACGTTCTCCCTGTGCATGTATGGGTTCTCTCCAGGTACTCTGCCTTCCTCCCACAGTCTAAAAATATGAATTTTTGGTTAATAGGTTTCTCTAAATTCTCCTTAGGTGTGTGTGTGACTGAATGGCTGTTTGTCCTGTTTGTCTCTGTGTTGCCCTGTGATAGACTAGTGACCTGTCCAGGGTGTACCCCGCCTTTCTCCCATAGACTGCCAGAGATAGGGATCAGCACTCTCCACACCCCAGCAGGGATAAGCATGAAGGGAAATGGATAGATGGATATATTCCCATGATTGTTTTTGATTGGTACCAATATCAATATCAGATCAGGACATCCCAAGATACAATGTCAAATTAGGATCTAGGGTGTCTGGGGCCCAAGAGAATCCCTGAGACAGCCCCAAAACCATGAAAAAGCACTATATTAATCCATGTGTTTAAGACGTATTTCAAGATATTGTTGTGAGGCTCTGTTAAAAGGCCATAATTGGTTCATTTACAAAAAACATATGCGTTATCTTTTGGTGTATTCATTAAGGGTGTATTCACAATAGGAAAGTCATTAGGTCTGGACCAAAAGCATAGGTTTATTTTAGTTTGGTGTGGTTCAATTTCATACTGTACTTTGTTCAAGTGAACTATAACTTGTAAACAAAGCGGCACCATCCTGTGATGAATGTGTCTGCCAATAGGAACTGCTATTAACTTTTAGACAGTGAAGTTTTGTTTTAAATCAATGTCTTTTTATTTAAGTTTTCCTTTTATTCATACATACACATTTACTATTAGACAAATAAAACACAAAACAGTCAAATACAGAAAAACAATCCCTAAAAAGCAATCCCATATACTCCCACTCAGGTCAGTGATTGGTCAGTTCACACATCCCATTCCTGCCGGCAAGTACAAAGCACATTCTCGTAAAGGTGAAATAATCTAGAATATTATTGTATATAGCCAAGAAAGGGGCCCAACATTTAATTTTTTCCAAGTGTGGAGTCTTTTTAAAGACATGGAAGTCTGCTTCGCCCTGCTCAAACTAATGTGTTGTATCTTCAGAAGTAATGTGGCCATCTACTAAAGTCTAACAAAAAGAGTTATGCACAGCATGTAATATTTTAACTATAACAATGTAATGGAGCTGCTCTTCAGCTATCAGGAATCATGAATTCATCAATATCATGAATCCTTTTAACTCCTGGTTAATGCATCACCTATTGATTTATTGTAATTCCTCTGTAGTAGAAGATCCTTCTTTACATGCGTTTGGGAATAACACAGGACTTCGCTCCTTTTGTTTATTCCACTCCAGCACTGATCATAAATTTTATCAATGTGCTGCTCTTTCAAAGGTGAGCTGGCAGCATGCTGTTTCAAAGCAAGGTTTTCCATTCCTCTCTCAAGTGATGCACTGACCCGTAAGAAGTTTACACTGATAAAACTATACAGTTCACTCTGTTTCTCAGATAGAGTGCATGCCATGGGGAGCAGGTCATGGAAAAGTCTTGAGTTTGACTAAGTGCACTCTCTCTTTTACCCCGTCTGTCAGTCCATCTCAGCTTCACTCACTCTTACCACAATGTGCACTCAGCCAAGCTGCGCAGACACAACAGTTCACGTGTTCACCCTCAGATATGCTTAGACACACTGACCAGTACATGCACACGCATCACTGAAAGCTGAGGTCATTTGTAGACTCGGATCGCCTCATAACTGAAATTAAAAGAAACAAATGACACATACATGTAGTTACAATGCTTTAAAAGGCTATGCTGGAGGATTCAAGAAGCATTTAATAATGATATACCTAATGAGATTGGATATATTACCTACATAGGAATCTTTGGAGAGAAACTTTGTATTATGAAAAACAACCTTACTAAGTCATGGAAAAATGATTAGTGAGTACAAGAAATAGTTCAAGGGTTACACATACCTTTCTAGAGGGTGTTTATTTCAGTGATTTCAACATTTAAAGACACTCAGAGTGATTCAAAGGTAAAACTTTTTCCAAAAAAGTACTCAAAACAAAGTTAAAACTGTAGCTTATTTACTCTTTAAGCAGTTTAACCAATGAGGCACATAGATGAGTGCTTTGATGAGCTGTTTTTGTAGACAAGTCTTACTCATTTCTACAGTACATTAATAATTAAAAGCATGTTGTTTTGTTAGGTTAGTCAGATGAATAAGTGTTAGAGTTTTTTCCATTCTCACATAGCCATGAGCATTTCTTGTGAAGGATGATGCTTTGTTAAGAAAGATGTCCTAAAGTGGCCCTCTCTTTGCCCTTCTAAGAAAGAACTGCTGATTCAAATAAGCTTCATGATGTCTTTGACATCTGAAGCTCTTCTACCTGCACAATTTATTCATTTCAAACACACCCAAACTCTGATCCGTTGAAAGCTTTTTATCCGTAGCTGATTTGACAGTTGATAAAAACACAGCATCATTATCAGGAAGTAACTTTGCTTCATGTACTTTGTCTCATGTCGTCAGAAGGCATGGGGCCAAGCAGCGACATTGGATTTTATTTAGGGTGAGTCTTTAAAAGAACACTTATCTGATAACTACTTTAGATTTATTACGCGTAAAATAAACATAATTAGCATGTAATGGCTGAGAACATAAATAACACATAATATAGTCAAATATCTTTCTGATACCTTTGTAGTTTTATGTTGTATTGCTGCAATAAAATAAAAAAAACTATTTTTACAAAGTTTATAAAAAATAATAATCAAATATGAAATACACCATGGTTAAGTAAATCAAATATTAAAGCCAAAATTAAATTAAGATTTTTCCTTATTTCTATGTTGTATCATCTAATAAATGCACTTTAATTAACACACTTCAAATGAGTGGACTTACACTGTTATTAGTAGGTGGTTATTGGTGTGATGATTAACTAATCAGATGTTTGGGTTTATTTGAATAGCCAAATAAATATTTCACTGATGGACTTTAGTTCATGAAATAAATTTTTTTTTTTTTTCAGAAACACTAAATAAAGTACTTAGGATTTTAAATTCAAGCTTTAGATACCGACTAATTTTATAAAGTACTTGGTATTTCCTGATTTATTTAAATATTGCTATGAGTATGTGAACAGATCCTAATACCGTTTTTTTTTTTTTTTTTTTTGTATATATACACAAATATATCTTGCTAATAATTAATTTATTATAATGGCATCTAATAATAACAATAAGAAGAAAAAAAAAATAATGGCATCTTCGGCCCTCGATTAAACTTGGGGGAAGTAGTTTGTTCGAACAGCGTCACCTGTTGGTGGCTGAGTGTCAGGACAGGTGAGAGGTAACGAGTTAAGAGGTCGTCATCAATTGATAAGTCTGGAGAATATTCGCTGTGTTTTTTAGCTCCGCTCAGAGCGGCGCTAACGCTGCCTGTCAGCGGGATGAAGAGCGGAAGATGCTTCGGGGAAACCTGAGCGCGTGCCACGCTGCTACAACTGCTCTGGATGAGATTTGTATGCTAGCTACTGTTAGCAACCTGCTAGCTTCTAAAATGTCGCAACTAAGTTCTTGCAGCTAATTTGAGTCATGCTTAACCGGCACACCTGAATATAAACAGCAACTGCTTACGATAAAAAAACCAAAAGGTGAGTATAGCTATTTATATAAACAACGTTATAGACAGCAAACAGTATCTGCGGATTAACTAACATGGTTTAACATTATTGTTCGTTTAAATTTTCCTATCAAGTTTGCATATTTTGGTTTTGGTATCAGGGAAATTGTTTTACAATTGTTTATAGAAAATGTATTTGTCGCATCTCATTAAATGTGGCTACAGTTTAAGCTAACCCGCATTTTCTTCCTGGTTACTCATGATTTAGCCCCACCCATAGATGATGGAAAATGTTACTGTGTTGGAAAATAACGACTTCTGATAACACATGGTTATTATCCAGCACATTAATCTGTATATCTGCATTTCATGATGAAAGGAAAAGAGATATAAGGACAGGTGGAAGTTCAGAGATTGCTCGCTGATGTTTTGACGGCTGTTTTCTTTCTGTTTAGTTTCTGACTACACATTAATAGTCGCATTAGAACATGTAGTTGTGTTTATACATAAAAAAAAAAAATACTTTTATTTTTTTTCCCAAAATATCCTGAGGGGGTGCGATTGCACTAGCAGAAGTACTGGTTTTCAAACCATATTATATGCTGGGCTCTATAGTGAATGTCAGGGACTTCAGTTTATTTACTATATTAAAATAAGACTAAGATGGGGAAAAAGTAAATGGGGAGAAAAGTAGCTGGACTACAAGAATTAAGGATTTCTTTAAGCTTAAAAGAGAAGAATGTGCCAAAGGAAGAAAAAGGTGCATGGGGTATATACAGTATGATTAATTAATAATTTAACTTTATTGATCTCACATTGGAGAAACTTACCTCTGCAGGTTAACCATCCCCTTGGGGAGCAGTGGGCTGCCATCGTGGGGCAACAGGAGAGCAGTGTGGGGTTAAGTTAGTAGAGAAGTCATATTTAAATTTCACATCATTCTGGCTTAAACATGTATATAAATGTACTCTTTATCAGACCATATTGTCCAAAAAGTTAGAACATTTCTATTTAGAAATATCCTGTCTTAAAATCTGTGTTTTTTGTTATTTTATGCAGGCCAGTTAGTTATACGTCAGTTTGTACACCTAAATTCAGCCAATAATTTTTTAACAATCATCTGTCAATCAAATTTTTTCGGTCATAGCATCTTGATTCATATGTTGCAGCTAATATAAGCAACGGGTGAAATAAGAATAATTTACTGTACCATTGAGGTACATCCCAGTGTTCACGGGGATGGATGTCTGTGTGTTCGGCAGGCGTAGAGATAAAAGAACTGGCAGCGTTGCAAGAAAGGGCTCAAACAAACTTCAACCACTTCGTCCCCGCTTTTCTACTCTATATAAAAAATGTATGACGTAGGAAACTCATCCACAACCTCTGACAGAAAACTCTCCTCATCTTGCATGTTTCGGCTGTCAATAGCATTCCTTGACAGTGTTGTTTCCAAGTAGTTCTTGGTCATATTGTACTTTCCCATTATTCCCCTACTAGTGCTAAGTTGCTAACTGGTTAGCAAGATGCTTCTGAGACACCGGCCACAACCAACATAGTTGCGAACCTTCCGCCAATCACATTCACTTTATTTACTTGTTTAAAGTTGGGCATCACTAAGGAGAATTCGGAAATGCAACAGTTGGCCGCTTCCCTACGACTTTAAGGGTCTTTGCTCTTTAAGGGTCTGCGGGATTGGGGCTCGAACTCAGAACCTCAGGATTCCAACCTCCATACCCTAACCACTAGGCTGCCACTCCTCTATATACAGTGCATCCACATATGACAGCTGAAGTCTTTTATTTGTTTTTTTTTAAATAGCAGGATTCATATACAGGGTTATTGCACAGGGTATTTACATGGGTATTTATCTAGATGGGTATTTATATATAGATATAGATTTTGCACTGGGTATCAAATAGTAAATTGCACATTGCACAAGTTACTGCCGTTGTATTGTTGCATTGTAGAGTCTGGTGGCAGCAAGGATGAATGACCTGCGGTAGCAGTCCTTTTTACAAACAGGGTGTAAAAGTCTTTCTCTAAAGCAGGCACTGTTTGATTGGTTGATCTTTAAAAATAACCAAATTTGGTCGTATTTTGGGCTAAAACAAATAACCTGCAACTAATTTAGTAATCAATTAATTGTTATGTGTAGTATATTTTTAAGATTCTTAAAGTGCCATTTGCTGAAAGAACAACAGATTCTGAGAAGTATATAAGCACAAAATTTATAAAACTTTAATAGATCTTGCTTTTAAGAAAGCTTAATCTTATTTAGCTGTAAACACATTCTATCCATGAGCCTAAAGCAGTGCTTTAAAGTGGAAATGAAATGGTTAGCCGAATTAACTTAATTTACGACATTGTGTCTCACTATTATCAAAAACTATCTTACAAACTTGATATAAATGAAGAAAAGAAAAAAAATATAGCTTGGTCAATAATTCTTTTGGTGAGGGCACCGTCATGTCCCAGTACTCCACGTAGTGATGTCATGGGGTTGGTTGATTGTAGAGCCACCAGATGGATATATTGGTAATACCAGTTATACCTCACAACTGAAAACACTTAAGAAATTTGGCATGATGGAAGACGAAGCTGAAAGAACATTAAAGCAACCATTGTTTATGATTTCGAGCCCATTGTGCGGGTGGCTCGAGCCATGGGAAGGAGAGAAGAAGCAGATGTGGTGCCATTGCTCTGACAATCAGCGCTATCCAACGATCCACCCTACCTTGTGGCGATGCGCATGTGCAGACTTAAAGCACGTCACAGGTTGCAGATAAATGACACTGTCTGGATGCACTGCCGTAAGAAAAAAAATGGGAGCAAGTATGCAAGTATAAATTTCAACCCTTTCACTCTAGAAGTCTTTTTCTCAAGCAAATATTTTTGTATTGTTTATTTCTAATAACATGCTTTACATATTTTTATTTTAAATATGTTGTTATGCTCATAAGCTACCATAATTATTTCTCACAAGCATATTTTATGTGTTGTCTCCCCCAGTACTTTGTGCCCCAGGATATGGCTAGTGGCTAGTGCCTATATGGCTAGTGCCTAGTGGTGTTTCTTGTTAACACTGAGGAGAAATATTTTACAGAAGGAAATTTGAAATGGCTTTTAGAAATCTTGGCTTTGATCGATTTTCAAACGCTGCCTGCTCCAAAGATCCAAGCCTACCTGTACTGGGTCCTTCGAAAAGGATGTGAAATGAGAATACTGGAAGAGTTCAGCTATAGATCCGAACAGCTCAAGCCTTCTCCAGCTGTCAGCACTACCAAGAATGGATGGTGGACTATTTACTACTCTTCTGTTTGCTAAGTTCACTTTTGAGGAGCTTCAGCAGCAGCACTGATGTTGCGGATATCCGATTTGTAGTTCACTGGAATCTGTGCTTTAAAGTCAGCTAAACCCATTTGTACAGGGACAGATAAAACCTAAATATCTGGCTCACTAACTATTAAAATGAACTATTTTCATAAAGTCAAAACAAAATTATTCACATACTTGTATTATATTAAACTGCACTTACAATATTCATCACTTTTTGGCACCATTTTCCTTTTTCCTCTGAGCACGGAGAAGCCAGCTTGCTTCCACTCACAATGAATCATGGGATACCCAAGACTACATAGGATACAGTGGTACTGTCCTTAAAACAGGTGAAAAGAAGGCTGTGTTTGTCAGCCACATACGAAAGGGTTTTGAATAGAAACATGCAACAACGCCGCACTATAACGTAATCGGCCAACGAACTTGACCTTTGGAGTACGCAGCCGCCGGTTTCAAACACAGCACTGAAGTTGGAGTTATCACTTCCTCATGTTTTGAAAGATCTCTTATTTTAAGTTTTATTTTTAAGATTCCTTTTCATGTTAACCCTATGAGGTTTGCTTATAATAGAAGTGGCTTCAAGACACTTTGAAATTGGCTCATATAGCTTTGATTTAGAGCTGGCCTTGTTAGTTTGTTCTGAATAAGTAGATCACTCAATTTATAAAATTGAAACATGACATTTTACATTTTATTTGCAGTCGACAGCTCTGTATGAACATATTCTCCATGTTTCTGCCGCATATTTGTACATCATTAAAGAGAATAGAGGCACTGGCTTTCAGTAATAGAAACGGGTCTGCCCCCCTGAAAGATTTTCTCTGATATGTCTTTTTTTTCTCATTTAAATATTAGATATCGTCAAGCAGAGTTCCTTATCAGAAAAAACATTGTCTGATTAAAGAAAATGTGCAGTTTTCAAGTGATAGGGAAATGGTCATTTGTACAAAATAATTTGCTACAGTCTAGAAAATATTTGTGCCACTATTAGCACCAAATATTATTTCACAACCTATAGTGAGTAATTTCGGCCACTCTGCCAAAAAGTTTGAATCGATCTAGGGCTGGGCGATATGACCTCAAATCAATATCACAATAAATTGGGCAGTCTTACCTCGGTAACGATAAACGCACGATAATTTCTCAATTATCTGCAGGTGGTGGCGGTTGGATGTGTTACTTTGGGTAGTCCCGACGGTTTTCAGGCAAACGTGTTCTTTTGCTCAACATCTATTGCGAAATTTTGGTGCCACCAAACTGAGCGTGCAGTGAGAACAATTTGCATCGTTTAAATTCACACACCCTCGCTAAAAACCGGTCTGCTGCGCGCTCAACTCTGACAACGCGCCCTCGACTTCTTTTCTGTGTGCTCAGCTTCATCTCTGCTCATGCTCGGCTCCATAGGAGTTTTGTTTACAGCTGTTTGACGCTTCTTCATCCGCCATTCTCTTTGTTTATTCCCTACATGCTGCAGTGTCTTAAAGGGGACGGAAATGCCAGCCACCAGCGCACACAATTATTTACCAACATGGGAAAATTTGTGCCGGTTATCGTAGTAAATGACGGTAATGGTAAAAATCGGGTTTATCGCCCAGCCCTAAATTGAACCATTCTGGGTGATTTGTAAGATTAAAATAGTAGTTCAAATTTTGATTTATGTTTGGACTTTACCCAGGCCGGTCTAAAACTTTCCATTAATATTTTTTGAGTCATTCAGATAACAATTTCTCAAATGTTATTATGGCACTTTACTGGATGCACATTTCTGTAAAAGTTCCACTTCATCAGATGGGCCTTTGTGTTCTATTTGTTTTAGTGGTGTATTTTACTTTAGATGTGTCCTATGCACGCCATTTTCACAGCCGGTCTTTTTGTTATTAAATCAAAAGCGCTGACTTTAACTGAGTATAGAGGTCAATGGGCCCATTCTTCTTAAAAAGATGAAGCTTTGTTTAACATTTCTGTGGCGCATAGAAAGGTCATCAAAACAAGCGAGTCTGAGCCTGTGCTGCTGTTGTCAGAACTTAATAATAGACTCTTTTTCACCATAAGGAAATCATTCTAACATTAACAGAGGCGTATATCCATGAAGCAGGATGTGAAACTCTCCTGTGCATTTACTGCAAGACATCAAAATGTCTGCTTCATCAAAATTTTGAAATTCTTAGTGATTTACGTATCTGATACTAGATGCCTCAACTTTTTTTTTAACTCTGATAATTAAATGTAAAAGTTCTGCTATATACTATTTGAATTGTTATTTTCCGACTGATTTTACACAGATTAAAATCTTTATCAGTGTGCTTTAGAATACTATTTTTTTTTTTCCATTGCTTAACCTCTTCACAAGAAATTTAACTGGCCACCCAAGTGGCTTTGGAACATGTGCACAGGCGAGTGTTGCTTGTACATTTTAAACTGTGCTGCCCAATGAAGATTTCTTTTGAAATTACATTTAGATGATTTTCAGAATATTATTTAGCACGTTGTTAGGAAGATGTAACACTATTCTGGATGCTGGAGTACAAATGTGCAGATCACAGAGGAGGCTTTTACAAGCTATTCCAATTCTAGTTTCTTTTAAATACCGTCCTGAAGTTTGCAGTTTTCATTGGTTTGGATTTTTATTGCAAGGATTAGTATGCTGTTAAATTTATTTGAGTGATTTTTATTTTGATTCAGAAACTATATTTAGCAGAGAGTGCCAATAAAATGTAGAAAAGGAATGTAGGTTTTGTGGTAGATTGTATAAATCGTGAAGGGATTGACAGATTCTAACCAGTTTTTTTGTTGTTGTTTTTCTGAGGGAACATTTTATTTTTATTTTTTTTGTAAATGTGAACTTTGGAAAGAATTAATACTCAGTTTTGATCAGCATTTCATCAATGCAGGAAAGAAAATTGCTCCAGGTTTGTAATTATTTCAGGTAGAGCAGATTTAATTTGCCTAAACAGGATGAGAAGATCTAAACTTCTATCTTCTGCATCAGTTGTTGCATTCATCTGCCTGCTCCATCCTCTGCTCATTTCTCACCCAGATGAACAAACCACTTGAAGCTTATTGCTTAGCGGAGACACAGCTGAACTCCTGACTGCACTGCTGGGATGTCTGAACTTAGCTTAAATGTAGGAATGCAGCATCTCTGCCAGAAAAGCCAGACTTGGACTCTGAAGAGTATGTTGTGAGTTTTGCAGGGCTGTATTTGGGCAAGTGTTTCCAGGATCATTTCTATGGTGATTTAAATACATTTTTTAGCCAACAAAACGGATGAGACTAAACGCAACGCTCAAGTGTTTCTAGCCTATGGTTTATTAAAACAAAGTGGATGCTTTGCGTAAAGGGATATCTCTCTGGGGTTTATGTCTTGCAGAACCAAGTCTGAGTTTGGGATTTCATAATCCTGTTGAGTTGTTATATCCCTGGCTCCAGGTGTATGGATCCTAATACTGTTCCATATATAGACTACGTGTTTCTTCCAGCAGACACACAAAGGTGTGTTTTCACATTTGCTGAGAGTGAAACTTTGGTTGGCGTGCTGAGCAAGCCTTGTTATCCTCTCTGGACACGCCTTACATTTTCCATCATTAAGCCCTAGTAACCCTTAAACCCTTATTGCCGGCATAATCATACACACAAACACGCTTGCATTATTTAAACGTACCCTGAGCCTCTGTGGTTGCTGCCATGAGAACTGCTGCGTCATGATCCCAAAGAGGGTGTCAACAAGGGCAAGATAATGAGTGAGTGGTTAAAACCCAGGAGTTTATGCAATTATGGGAGTAACTGAGATGAAACGTTGTGAGCTGAAGTTCATAGAGAAGAGGAAAACACCTGCTGGAGGATGATATAGCTCCCCAAAGCACCAGTATGGTCTTGATGCGTCAGCCTGTGGTTTGTTTAATTTGAGGTTCCCACGGCATGATAGCTTCTAGTTAAAAATATCACAGATTCATCGTGTTTACCTAAATGTTTCAAACAAAAATGTAAAATATAATTTACCTAATTTTGATTTAAAATGGAACAAATATGTCTTAAGGGCTGGTTGTACTCCCTGCAGCAGTGTGTCGCCGTGAGCTTGACACAGATATTTTTGATTTATGCTCGATTTTGAGCGTGGTCTGCGCTATATGCTGTGGGTTTAGATACGGCCGAGGCGGAGAGGAAGTGGGGAAGTTTGTCCGACAACGGAGGGACATGAGGGCGAAAAAGTGCAGGGACCAAGGTGGAAAAAGGGTCCCAATGTTGTTGCGCACCTTGCTCTTCTAGCTGGTTCAACTTCACGAGTCGTTTTCTGCAATTGCGGTCATAAAAACAAAACAAGCTGGCCTCCTGTCTGCGGTCACCTACAATTTGGGAAAGGTGCAGCAGAGTGTCTGCTGAAGGGGCGGGGATGTCTCTGCGACACCTACGCAGACGACCTAGTTTCAAAGTATAAATCAGCCTTTACGCTACAATAATGACTTTGAACTTGCATATTTTGGTAAAAAGCTAGAAATATTTGAAATGTGGAGCAATATTCAAATATAAAACAATGGAAAGTATTATAAAAAAAGATGTTTATTAAAGAATATAATATGAAAAGGAAATGTAGCAGTTACAGCTTTGCAATTATTACTTTTGCTGTTAGTCACTCCTATTCTCACTTCTGATGAATGTTATTAACATTTCATGGTAACACATTAATTATCTGTGAGCAAAATGACTGGCCGACTGAGTTCAAGCAGACAGAAGTAAGCAGAGATACAAAAGGAAACTGTAAACCAGCTCCACAGGCGGCCCCGTTCAGAAAAAACACAGCCAGGCAGACAAGCTCCGAGCCAGCTCCCATGTCAGAGGATGAAGAGAGCATATCCAGTTAGTCACAGCCAGAGAAACAGGATTATAGTAGTGAAAGATAAGTTTAGACTTCTGAGTCAACCCATTTAGCATATAAATACAAGAAGAATAAAGAACTGCAGCCTCCTTTCGGCCAGCTGACCTGATATCCATAGCAACAGGTGGAGGAGGGGCAGCCTTGCAGTACAGTGCTCCATAGAGTATGCTTGCTCTGGCAATTTTTCTGTGGTATCTCATGATCTCATGGAACAATATTTATAAAGCAGGAAGTGTGCAGCGGAAAAGCTGATTTCATGCCTGTAACTGGATCACAACAGTTCAGCACTGCAAATGTATTATATTAACCTATATATTCATAAGATGGCACTTTCTGTCATGTGATATTTGGTCTCATGTGAGTTAAAGAGTGTCTACAGCCTCCTTTATATAAGGATGCAAAGCAAAGGCTGTTAGGTTAAAGACATCTCTATATCTTTGTTTTAGAAGGAAACAAAATTTTCAAAACCCTTTTTGAATTAATGCAAAAAGAAGAAGAAAGTAAATATCCCTGGGCGTAAAGCCCTCCCTGTTAAACTGTTAGATGTTTCCTGTTAAAACTTACATGTATCTGGAGGATGTAGGAAATCAGTATCCAAGTTTTCCACACTTAAGCCAGACATCAAAGCTAGGTAATCTATCTGTAAAGGGGCTGAAAGACACCAGTTAAGGGAAAAATAAAAATATGTTCTGATTCAATATTTACAGTTCTAATTATTTTTTTATTTTTAAGGGCTTGAAATCTGTCGCTGCCTTTCCAAAGCTGGAATGTTCCCAGTTTCAGGGAATTTTAAAAGCACACATACTGTAGACCTGCATTAAAGTCAAATGAAATCAGCCGAACTCCAGTTATCAAAGGTGTTTGGAAGGGGAAGCTAGTTGGTTGCAACATAAGCATTTATATCAAACACGTCATGGGCAATTGAAGGTCCCTGGTATTAAATTCCTGAAGCTTATTATCCTCAGGGATACTTAGTTTCAGTTAGTGGCATTCGATATGAACATTGTGTTGCATCCGGTGACTAAAACGCACATAATGTGGTTTCCTTCAAAAGAACCAGTATACATGATCTCCTCACTGATAGACTAGTTGATAGGTCAGCGATTTTTTTTTTTGTTTTTAATTCTGTTTAAAGAGTCAGAATAAGTCCAAAGTGCATGTTCAGCCGAACTTGATTTAGTATGTTTTACACTCCCAATGTATGAGCTACCGTCAAAAAGAGTCACTTATTTACATTCCATGCTCGGAATGTCTGGCCTGGATTTTCCACTGTTTGTGGGAAAATATGTCTGATGATCTCCAGCACCACAGTTGTTATTGTAGATGAAAGTGTCAATAATCATGTTTGTTTCATGTTGTAGATTTTCCAGGTGAAGAATAAATCCCAAGCACAATAAATGCCAAAACTTTGGACACTTCTGTCCATCGTCCTGTAGACTAGTCCATTTAACTGTCAGTGTAATTTTCCATGGATAAATTAGATTCCTTCTTATCTCCTTGTCTTTTACAGATGGCTGTGTCTGTGCGGGGCCTCTACTTTATTATAACCCTATTTTTAGGTAGTTTCTTTGGAAGTGTCGTCATGCTGGGTCCAGTTTTGCCGCTCATGCTGATATCTCCGGCTTGGTACCGCTGGCTTACGGATCGAATTGTTGCTACCTGGCTCACCCTGCCTGTGGTGCGTACATTAGCTTAAAAAACTGACTGCTTGTATTAAATCCACTCAGCCACACATCTCATTTGGATTGGTCTTTGTTTAATTCTTCTTTTTATTTTTCTTTGGTAACCTCTGTTCTTTTCTCTACTCCAGTCTTTGCTAGAGCTGGTATTTGGGGTGAAGGTGGTGATCACAGGGGATGGCTTCATTCCTGGGGAGCGGAGTGTGATCATCATGAACCACCGCACCCGTCTGGACTGGATGTTCCTTTGGTGTTGCCTGCTCAGGTACAGCTACCTTCGCCTGGAAAAGATTTGCCTCAAGGCTGCTCTCAAGGCGGTGCCCGGCTTCGGTGTGTATGCAGTGGGTGCCGTGCCCTTTTCCACACACAACCGCATACACAAACACTCCTTGGTGCACTTGTGTAACACGATCACTGCTTTACATGTCATTTTCTAAAATTATAGTTACACAACATTAGGGCCTTGAGCCATCCATGTTTCTTCATTCCCTTAAAGGGACTGACGTTTTGTAATATTTAGCAATAGTTTCCTGACTTTCTTATCAAAGGATGAAATAAGTATTTGCCTATTTCAAAAGTATTCATAGCAGCATCCCTTTGATTAAACAAAACATATTTATCCTTTTGAATGTCCCATTCTAAATCTGATTGAAGACCCGCAGAATGACTTAAAAAGACTGGATCTTTAGATAGGCTATTTTTATGCATTTTTAGACATCTTTCTGAAAAATGTTTGAAGGTTTCAGTTACAGTTGGGCATTGAGATTCGATAATCTTTCAGATCTGTTTCCAACCTTTAAATTCTCACGGAATCACTCAGATGTTTTATTTTCAATTCCTGGTATCAATGCCCAGTCCACTGACTGAAAATAGAAGCTGCCTAATATAAGCGAAGAAGAATCCTCAGGGTTGTGAGCTCAACAATCTGTTTTTTTAATTCACCATTTAAAATGGTGCTTAAAGTTGAATAATGAAATGAGAGGACAGCTCCCTGTGATGCTGGCAATGGGATTATATTATGCAAAGAACAGCGCATCTCTAAAATCCCGCAACAGTGTTTTAAGGTAGGTTCCTTAGGGTGTTTGTTCTTCGTTTATCTTCTCACCCTGTCCACAGAGAGCAGAGCCTTTAATATACTTTGTTCGCCTTACTTTATGTCCTTAAAGATACCCTCCTCATTTTCTGGATAGAAATAAGGCACTCTAACATAGAGCTGCCAAACCTATAAATAATGTGAGTAAGTTCAATTTTTTTTATTTTTTTTTATTTTAGTTAATTTGGGATCCGTTTCATTTGATAAAACCCTCTAACTGAGTGAAGGTGTATGACATCTGATGATTCCTCCATATAGTGGAGCTGAGGTGCAGTAAACAATGCTGAGGATTTAAACTCTGTCAGGATGCCTTCCTGCTGCTTTCTCCTCCAGCTCAGACACCCGCTTCAGCTTTGCAGTCAGAATCAGTTACATAAAATAATCAAATGGTACAGATAAGTACCTGCAGCATCAAACACTGAATATTTGTGACTGTAAATGTGAAAAGAAAATTCATAAGATTATATTAGAGTTCATAGGTTTGATATTTATATACTTGTTCAATAGGAACCAAACAGTTCAAATTAAAACCCAACGCTAGTTTCAATGTGTAGATTTGCAAAGTTCTTACAGATATAAAGTGGGACGATGGTAGCTGTAAATGCAATGAAAGATCAGCTTGTAAAGGGTTCATTCACAGAGACTAAACACAAATTAAGACAAAACTTTTACCAAAAAACATGTATCTATGTCCTACCATGTTACAAGTTTAGTTAGTTGGGGTAATATGACAAACTTAAAGAAAAGAGTTGGGGGTGTGAAAACTTTTGAGAGGTATTGTTAAAAGAAATGACTGATGATAAACTAGAAAAAATCCTAACTACTGAAACACCACAAACCTCACATGTTGGGTAGATTTGTTTTTAGGTGGATTTTCAAATAAATGTTTAACATCAATTCAGGTCATAAAAATTCTTAACAAGCCGGGTTTCAATGCTGTGTATATTTAACAGGTTTAACACCAGGTGTTTGTTTTTTTCTTTTGTTAATCAAAAAAGCAGACCTGGTGAAAGTTGGAAATCTTATCACTTATTTGTGGAAAAACTTTGTGTACTTTCCAGGTTGGGCAATGCAGGTGGCCTGTTTTGTTTTCATTCAGCGTCGCTGGGAGATGGACAAGAAACATTTGGAAAACATGCTGGACTACTTCTGTGACATCAGAGAGCCTCTACAGCTGTTATTGTTCCCAGAGGGGACAGACCTCACAGGTGGGATGTAAACAATGCAGCTTGTAGGGCGGCTTTGCCTCCGTTCGACTCATCTCTGAATGAATGTGTAACATACCAACCTGGTTCTAACACTGACACTGTTATGCAAGTATAATTTAAAGGTGTAAAACCATCTCTAAATCCCTTGACTCGTCCCCGACAATGTCATTACAACAAGAGGGCTCTGATCTCTCAGGGCTCAGGATTTGACTTTTTGCCTAAAGCCCCTTGAGTTCACAGCTTAGCTAATCAAAGGCATGAGTCGCTGTCCTGAGGGGAGCTAAACCTCTCTATGCATCACGTCAGTCTAGTTACATCACAACTGACCTGTTAACCTTGAGTCTCACATATTGTTTTACATTTGTCCCCCTTCTGTATAATCATGTCATCCCATATCTGCACATATCTGTGTTTAAGCATCTTCAAGCTAAAAGCTTAAAGGAGAAGTTCGTTTTTTTACACTTTAAGCCCATTTTCTGTAGTGTCCAGGATGAAATCGAATGATCGACACCAAAAGTTTGACAATTGCTCCTGTCTCTGCTTTTTGGCTCATTTAGAATCACCCCCTGGCTGCTTTAGAATGGTTAGCATAGAGCATGTCCGATAATGTCCTTAAAACAACCTTAAACGTTCTTTTTTTAAAATATGCTACTCACCGGGTCGTCAGCGCTGTTCAATGACGTTCCAAAAAAAGTTTCGTAAAGAAAAAACGTTCCTGTAGTGTTTTATTTAGCATTTTGTAAATCCCATTGAGTTCTGTAGGAATAGTCAATATTCCGCTGCCACCGGAAACGGAAACGGGGCCTGTTTACACAGTTGTAGTCTTTTCGCTTCACTCTGTGTACTCCGACGTCGAGGTGCTAACGTCTCTGTTAAACACTTTAAAAAACTCTGAAAATGGAATACGAAAGGTGGATTCTTGATTCTCGACGTCGGAGTACACAGAGTGAAGCGAAAAGACTACAACTGTGTAAACAGGCTCCATTTCCGTTTCCGGTGGCAGCGGAATATTGACTATTCCTACAGAACTCAATGGGATTTACAAAATGCTAAATAAAACACTACAGGAACGTTTTTTCTTCACGAAACTTTTTTTGGAACGTCATTGAACAGCGCTGACGACACGGTGAGTAGCATATTTTAAAAAAAGAACGTTTAAGGTTGTTTTAAGGACATTATCGGACATGCTCTATGCTAGCCATTCTAAAGCAGCCAGGGGTTGATTCTAAATGAGCCAAAAAGCAGAGACAGGACCAATTGTCAAACTTTTGGTGTCTGTCGATCATTCGATTTCATCCTGGACACTACAGAAAATGGGCTTAAAGTGTAAAAAACCGAACTTCTCCTTTAATTTGACATATGAAACCAGGGAATAAACATGTTCCGTTCTTTTAATTTTAAGTAGAAGTTGTTACATTAAATTGTTCCTTTAATCTTCATTCTAGAGCCTTAGATGCAGACATCAGGCCTAAAAAAGTGTACATGAGTTTGTGGTGCAATTTTTAAAACTAAAAATTTGTGGAGATGGAAAGAACATGAAGCATGCGTTTCTTTTTTGTTCAGTAATGTTTTCTATTAAACTGATGAGGCCTGCACAGAACAGCTGTATTTATACTGGGATACTCACAGGTGATCTCTATTTAACAAGTAGGGGTCAGCTGTAGGCAAATGGCTCTGCTGAATGACCTGCATGGCGACATATGAAGAAATGATAGCGCTACATACCACTCTGAACACACTGTTCCTAATGTGAAACATGGTGGTGGCGGGTATTATGATGCACTGATGCTTTTCTCTATTAGTACTACAAAACTGGAATTAGATGATAGATTGATATAAAAATGGATTTACTGGATTTTATTTAGAGGCATCAGAGGGAAGAGGGGCACACTTCAGATTTTAAATTCCCGTTTATGCACTAATTTATTTCAGTGTCATCTCAATACTTCTGAATAAAATGGATTGAGGTTGTAATATGGGGTAAAAGTTGATTTAGTCTAAAAATGGCCAGTTTGTACTTCAAATAAATAAAAATATTTAACTCAAACAAATAAAAATATGTTCAGTTGTGTGACTTGAGCTGCTTCTTCCAGTATTTATGATTGTAAATTTCATCTCTCCTGCAGAGAACACAAGAGCAAAGAGTGATGCCTATGCCGTGCAGAACAACCTTCCAAAGATGGAATATGTGCTTCATCCCCGCACCACCGGATTCACCTTCATCGTGGACAAACTAAGAAAAGGTCAGGGGGATCCGCATCACCGGCTTCTTGTGTTATGTAACGTCTGTATTCAGCGTGCTAACGGTGCTCTTACACTTAGTGTGTGGTCAGACGACAGACGCATGTATTTCTACTGATTTAATATTGGTTATAGTTAAAATAAACTGGCCAGAAAGCCTGCTGTCACCACGGAAATCTTCCATCAGCAAAACCAACAGATAATGACGCGTTAGTTGTAATGACTGTAGTTGTTCCACTGACACTCATAGAACAAAGCTGGTACCTGATATTATTTTAAGTCCCAGACTTGCGTTTCATCCCACTGCCAGCCATCATAGCTCTCTCTAGGTTCTCATGTTTCTGCTTCAGCTAGTCCTGGCAGCCCCACCTTTCCATGGTGAGGGCTTTGATACCACATCTGGCCCCTCTGTGTCACCCACACTCTTCCTGTTTGCCGATGATGACACCATTTCTCCAAGCAGGTGTTGTGATATCATATGGTGGCTAATTCTTCACCCCTGTCTTTGCACAGCTGACTGACATCATGCACATATTAACTATCTCTACTGTTGCTTTATCATCTCTATTTTTACCTGAGCTGTGCAGAACTCAGCGCTGCCAGGTGTCTTCCCATTAAATTGATGTTTATTTTAGCTTTTCCTGCTCATAAGAGCACTGCGGATATGCAGTAATCACGGATGTTGGAGGTTAAAATCAGCAGTATCATTTGTGATTTTTTTTTTTTTTTTTTTGAAATTTCGAATGTATAAAAGTAGAGAGGATTATCTTTTATTGTTAAATTCTTCAGAGCTACACTGATCAGATCAGGGTTTTCCTGGATGTTTAATGGGAAAATGTGCTTCAGGTTCTGTGATAAAGGTGGTAGCTTTTAGTTTTAAAAAAGAAAAGGAAGAACGCGCTGAATTAATTCATCAATGACATTTTACTGGGTTTTTCTTTGTTGTTGTTTTTTTTAAAGCATGTGCTGTTGATGCATTAAAGAGCCAAAAAAAATATTGAAGTTCCTGTTTAATACACCTAATGAAAAGTTGGAAAAAAATCTCATTGTTCAGCATTTCTTCTGAAGATTAAGAACAAATTCAAAATTCTGACTTGTGCCTTAGAGTTAGAAATAAATCTCCTGCCTTGCTAGCTTAATATGTAGGTCGACAGACACACCCATCCTGATAGTTGTTTTTATTTTCTTTCCATAGGAGACAACCTTGATGCTGTCCATGACATCACAGTGGCGTACCCTAAGAACATCCCTCAGACGGAGCGTCACCTCGTTTTAGGACATTTTCCACGAGAGATCCACTTCCACGTACGCCGCTATCCAGTTTCTTCACTTCCCTCCTCTTCCTCTGAGTTGGAGTCTTGGTGTCGAGAGCGCTGGGCTGAGAAGGAGATCCGTCTGCGGGACTTCTACTCAGGCCAGCCTCGGGGCTTCGACAGGGACGGCTTTGCACGAGTGCCGCCTTGTAAGTCAGAGCTGCGCGTCTCCCTGATCAAAGCTGTCTCCCTGCTGTATTGGAGCAGCTTCATCGCGTTTTGTTTCACAGGCCTGTGGCTCTGGTCTACCTTCAGGCTCTATGTCCTGGTTATGGTTATAGTCTACACAGTCCAGCAGAAGCTGGCTGGTGGGATGGAGCTGCTGGAGATGGCTTGCCATCAGTACTGGAAATCCAAGTGTGAGAAGGAAAAAATGCTTGACAAAAAAATTCAGTAGTGAGGTGGGGATTAAAAGAACCAGCAATTCAGTTTGAAGCAGATCAGTGCTGTTAGCCTGATCTGAATCCCTTAGAGGAACAGAAGCTTTTCTGCCTCAGAGGGTAACAAGTGCATCTTCAGATCGCTTCAGTGGATAGATTAACTCTCTGGCAAAAAAAAGAAATAAAAATAGGAATGTTGGGTTTATTTATCCTTGCTGGGTTTAAGGTATTCATCACATGTGATGTTCCCTTTGACCTGTTGTGCAGTCAGGGTAAGAAGAAAATAAACCATCTGTTAGCTCTAGGGCTGAGCCTCTAAAATCATTTAAATCTAGCGTAAAAAAAACACAAAGTTCAGCACATTTTTTTTTTTTTCAATGACAACATGAGACTTTAAATTGGGTGCACAATCCTTGTTAAATAAGTTGCTATTGATGTGTTTTACCAGTTTTATGTCGTCTGTGTTTAAACTGTTATTTAGTCTTTTCTGGCATCGGTCAGGAGACAGTGCTGTTGGTATTTGTTTAATCACCATGGCTATAAAACCCATTTTATTGTATGCTATGTTGCCATTGGTTTTCTGTTATGACTTGTTGACTTTTACCAACATTTAAAATAGCACTGGTTGGAGGGACTTTTTATTAGTTTATCAATGAAACAAACTGTCATATTACCAGAGAAAAAGTAGGAACGGTCCACATTAGTCAGGTCTACAGCTCCTTGCAGAATTCATGTCACTGGAACCTTTCAACAACAACAACAAAAAAAGTTCCACATTGTAATCTCAAATTTAATTGTTTTTATTAGGGTTTTATGCAAAAACAAAGAATCACACCAGGCTTAACTCATTCCTCCCCATCTGTTTGAGTAAATCATCTTCACCTGTATCCACCCATCAGTAGGGCACCAGAACTGCTCTGACTGTGCGTGCAGACAGCAACGATAATATAATGCTACCATTCAAAGGATTGGCACCAAAAGCACAGCAGATAAAAACGGTCAGAAGGAAAGAATAACACTGACTTCTTTTGTCTAGACCTGCTGTTTTTCCACACTTAGATCATTTATCTCCTTTATTGTAGCAAGAAACATTTGTCTGGACATTTAATAGCTGGGCCTCTTGTCTTTTTCTTTAATTAATGTTCTCCTTGCCTGGCCTGATGGTTTACATGGACGACATTACCGATGCAGATGTGCCATACTGAATTTAAAGTTGACGAAATGAAACTAAAGCCATATTTTTTCTTTGGTCTTCATGATTTTGTTTAATCATCACTAAAAAATCTTCAAGGCCTTCATAGAGTTGCTTGATTCAGAGTAAAATTAAAGAAAACACAGGGTAATAGTTGCATTGGATATTATTACAAAGTGTAGAAGAGGCTTTATTCATATATATATATATATATATATATATATATATATATATTTTTTTTTTTTTTTTTTTTTTTTTTTTTTCTAACAGATTACATTGTGGAAAAGTAATAGTGGTATGAATACTCATGCAAGGCACTGTAATGACCCTGTCCTAAAAGGGAGCCTATTCTTCTTTAATCCTAATTGCTTTTGTAAGGTTTTGCACAGAAAAGCCAAAGGTGAAAAATGCATACATAATGTGAAGTTAAGAACTGAATATTGTGTTTAATGTCAGGGAAGATCAGCGTTGTATACCAAACGCCAAGCTACAGCTTGCCTTTATCCTAATAAATTAAACAATTGTACATCCAACCAGCTGTAAAAGCGTAGGAGTTTTTTTTAGCCCTTTCTTTCCGGGAATGCATTGAAGCCTTGTTCAGGCAGGTTCTGGGCTGGAGGAGTGTCCTGTTGAGGCAACATAACCCCTCAATGTGTAGGGCGGCCCAGAGAACCAGACTTGGAGTGGAAACAATGGCCCTGAGGTCAGCCTAATCCAAAAAAGCCCTGTAATACCCACCTCTGCATGTGTTCCTTTGCCCAGAACTGGCATCGGCGCGCCTGTTGAACCCAATTAGCAACTGACAGCTGAGAAAGCTACTGAATTTATGCCAAAAAAGGACTGGGACTAAAAGCTGTTTGGAGCGCCCTGCTTCATCCTTTCTCCCCTTGTTTAAGACCTCATTGATTCTGTAATAAAGGAGTAACTGTCTCCTTAGGAACCTCTGTACATTGTGTATCCACCATGTCTTTTTTTCTTTTATTTAAGCACTAAAAAGGGTTGATTCCTATCACTGTGATACAGCTGTGTTAGCAGATTTATTTTTCACATATTTTATACCTGTATTTATATGGTTCTATATCTGTTTGAGTTTACACTTCTTAAGCCAGCGCTAGTCTGCTCTCCAAACATTATTTCTGTTGTATTACAATTGTTTGCAGATGCTGGACTTCCTAGAAGTCACCGTCCTCAGGTAAACAGTGTAGACACCATCACAGAGGCAGTCTCTTAAATAATAAAATGTATCTCAATAAATCCACTCTTATCACCTCATTAAAGTCTCCTGGAGTTGTTTTGTTGTGTATCTTAGCTTAAGCTTAACTAACAGCTGCAGCCCAGCCAGTTATAGCAGAGGGAATTAAAACCCTCATCAAGCTTTGATCCAAACCTCTGATGGCAGAAGGGCGGTGCGAGGGCCATTTCTGTCCATCTGGGGGACTTTGTGCGGTCCTTCGTCTCATTTTAAGAATGAAGCAAATCTGGCTCGTCTTCAGCAGCGGATTTCATGTTTCAAGAGTTTCACTGAGTTTAAATTGCCAAAACAAATGTGGAGTCATAGCTACAATGCAAGTTATTCATCTTTTAGTATATTTTGCCTTTATTTCACATTCATTTTAAACTGGATCAGATGTTTAACTTTTCCTCTAAAGGGTGTTAAGTCATTACATATGGCTTAACACAGGGATGTCAAACTGGTTGCAGAAAGGGCCGTGTGGCTGCAGGTTTTCTTTCCAACCAAGCAATCGCACACCAGACTCCAGTCATGATGACTTGATGACTGGAGTTTGGTTTGCAGCCACATGGCCCTTTATGGAACCAGTTTTACACCCCTGTTACACAAGAAATCTTTAAAGCATTGTTATTTTAAACCTGGTCCTCAAGGCACACTGCCCTGCACATTATGGGATGTTTCTCTGTTTCATAGGGTTTAAAAACACTGCTTTTAAGAGAAATTAACTGCAAAATGAACCAAAATCATAATATGGGACATTTCCTATAAACAATCAGTCCTCTCCATCAGCAACGTCGATCAGTTTATCTCCTTTCATATCTAGTGGTACAGTCCAGAACATCTTAGAACTACTTTGTTTATTGCTCCAATTTGAAGCACTAGGTGTCATTAGTTGTTGCTCCTTTAAAAGAATTGGCGATCCATATCCCATTCCGGTAATCGAGCATGGGCTAAAACATTTTTCTCAACCAAAAAAAAAAAACAATCCTACGAAATAACAAGGAAATGCAATTTTTTTGAAAAGGGGCATAATTTGTACCAACTGTTCGAGACTTCTCTAAAGGAAACACATTTATTTTCATCTAAAAAGAATAATTCAACGCACTTTTTTCTGCTTAGCCACTGGCTCGTTCCTTAATACAAAGAGTGGTTTAACACCTTGATGCCTAAATTATTAAACAGGCCTTTAGTTGCAAAATGACATTTCTAAACTTTCTATTTATTATAAAATACATAGAAATGTAGGTTATTGATTTGTGATATTTACAAAAATCAATGATAATTTACACCGATAGGGAGCAGGTGTAACGGAAACAAGGTTACTAGCTCCACACTGAATGCTTATTAACTGGCACTGGGGGATTAACAAGCCATCTAGGCTGTGTATGTAATACAAAGGGTTTGTTGCATATTTGCAAAAATGGGTTAACACAAAATATTTAATTGCTGCACCTTTTGCTATAGCTCTTGAGACTCAAAACCTGGAGAAAAAGATAAATGGGCTATGATTGCCTGCCAGTATTCATATATTCATTTTTCTGCCACATGATTTTCCTTCCACTGAATTTACCATTAATAGGCTTGTATGTAGTGCTCTATGGAGAGCCAGCTTATGCAACAAGTTTTGGTAAAGGGTAGGAAAGTAATTTTGTATAATATAGATCACCTGGTCTGATCTATATTATAAATAACTTTTACTTGATTAATCTACTGAAAAATAAATGTTATCTTTTTAGATCCACCTATAATTGGACCTGCTGCTACTTCTTTGGCATGGCTGAGTGCCTTTAGTTAATTTAGTTGTATATATTGTTATTATTATTATTGTGTGGTTGCTTATTTATACTGTATATATTTGACCTTTTGCACGGGAGCTGCAATGGAAATTTCGTTGAATTCTGTTCAGTGACAATAAATGCTATCTATCTATCCATCTATCCTCATCTCTGCAAAAACACAGCAGACCTATCTCTCTTATAGATTTGTAAGGAAATCTAGCAGCTTTTGTCTTACTCAGTAGTTTCTAATGTATTTTATATTTGGAGTCATACGTGACATTTTGAACAGCTGTAAGCGACTCTGAGGCCTTTTCTATCTAAAACAGCTTTTGGGCTGCAGGGCATGAGTGAACAAGGCCTTGAACGTTCACATTACACAACACTAGGACCACTGTTTGCCATGTGTGCTTTGCCCACACTCACACACACATCTACCGTAGACAACCAAAAAGGTCAGGAGCTTTGAAGGTGAAGTGCAGTCACCATAGTAACTCGTGTTGACTCCCCTCGTCTCCCGGCAACGGGATGTGGAATGATGTCAATGGAAAGCATGCTATTTTCTACTGGTGACAGAGTGATGTCACTTCTTTTGTGCATGCGAGGAGAGAAGTGGAAAAAGAAGGTTATTCTGTAATCTAAAGGGGCGTAGAGGTGTCGATAACATTCCATAAAACAAAAGAGAAACAAAGGCTAAAAAAACTCAGGACGGTGAATCATGAGCCAATTAAGAGGGCAATTATCCAAACACTCCCCTCGTTTTTTCCTCTCCTACTGTTCCACTCCGGCTTCTCAATATAACTTAATATTTCTTCTAAAAGGAGAATGGATGGATGATGCACACAGGCATCCAATTAGGGACAATTTTACTGATCAATATGTCTTAGGGTAAAACCGATCTTTTTTCACAATTCCTTCTTTCACTTTCACATTTCAATTGCATTTAACAAGCAGTAAACATCTCAGAGAACTGAGTTTTTCCTTTTTTATGCTGAGAAACATGATCATTTATGTAGGGTGGATACATTTTTTTTTTCATCAGATGACTCTCAATTAACATTTGAGATGATGTGGAGACAACAGCTACAGCTAAGTAAGCTAGAAACACTGACTTCTGGAGAGGAAGCCTCCTTCTTGCCTCAAGTCATGAATGACTTTCAAATGACAGCAGACTGAGTCATAAGCCATAGATTCTGCAAGAAAAGAGGAAAACGTTTGCATTGCATCTGCAAGCTGGGCAGTTTGAGCTTTGTTTATATGCCTGTGGGCAAAGTTAAAGTCCTGGACGGCCACTCTGAGGAGCCACTGCAGAAAAAGGAGACCTGTTGTTGATCCACCCCTAGTGACACAGTCTTTCTCTAACACACACTAACACAGACGGCTCCCAGCAGCAGCATCACGGCTATAAATAACTCTACGGCAGCACTGCAATATTAGTGGGTGGATTAAGGAGTAAGTCATCACTTCCTATTTATAAACCAGATGTCGAAGCTGTTTTGTTTTCGCACTGAGGGGCTGCATGATTTAGATCCGCTTGGCTTCTACTTGTTTTTAATACCTTATTTTTTTTTTTTTTTTTTTGTACTTTATTATCAATAATTCATGAGATCCATATTTAATCTGTTCCATAGAGTGACATCAATAGACTTGCAGGGAAACATGACAGCAGCATCAGCAGCATTTCCAGCAGGGAACATCTTGGAAGCTCTTTGTTCTGTACTCTGCTGCCACCTACAGGTCAACAATCTAACTTCAGCGGCTTTATCTTCCTCATAAACAATTATATATATATATATATACCGGTATATATATATATATATATATATATATATATATATATATATATATATATATATATATATATATATATAAATAAAACAAAAAAACATAACCATCAGTCAATACACATTATTTTAATGATTAAAAAAGGTGAGCTCCACAAGACTACATCTTTATAAAGAAATAAAGAAATATAAGAGGAAATCTGGTCAAAGCCACAAAAGGAAATTAATCTTTTAAATCAAGAAAATTATTCAACAGCTTCATCACAAAAGCAAGCAGATTAAATCAA